TATTTTCAAATACTTATACTAACCTCGAAAAAGCCTGCAACTTTTTTTCCCCGGAGTACCAGGAGACTCGCCGGAGCTTAGCCGTGGAGATTTATTAACAGTAACGGCCTTCCCAAGAAGAAAACTGATAAACCCATCAAGTGTTCCTTTGACATACGTGGAATTGTGAACTTTACTGAGAGTTTCCAAAGCCAATTCCTCGGAAATCGAAGAAAGTCTCTTCCTTGTCTCCTTTAAAATCGGAGGTTGTTTGTGTTTCTTGTAGATCTTCTCCAAAACGGTTTCAACTCGACCCGGAAGAACGATTTTTGACCCGGAAAAAGCTTGGTCGGAGATGTTAAGACACGAAGTGGAAGTGGTCATCTTTTTCCCAAATAAAAATCAATGTCTCTCTAGGGTTTCATAAAAACAGAGACTGTTCGTTGTTTGGTTTTTGCCATTTTTTTTCTCAAATTTTCTTCATTGTGCGAATCAGTGATGCGAGGGCACACTGACAAGAAAAAAGTTCATGGGTCTGACTGTTTGAAAAGCTAGAGTAATTGAGAAGAAAAAGAACAAGAAAGAAAAAAGTCATTTCAGAAGAAAAATGATTCCACTATGTATTTGAATCTTCCGCTTTAGTTACTTTTCTTGGAAAGAAGAAAGCTTAGCAAAGTAACCGAAGCACTTTGATATTTGCAGATGAAAAATTTTTCTTCTATTTTTTTCTTGATTGGTGCAAGCAAAGAAGTTTTTTTTTTTAATCCTTTTTCTTTTCCTCTATTAACGTGACCCCATAACTTTTCTTGTGCAAAGCCAATTTGTGGATTTGATTCTTGAGAGATTTTATTACTGAAGAAACCTATTTGATGTGGTTTAGTATTAAAAAAAACATGTTCCTTATCGAGTAAGCAATACAAACCCTACCATTTTACCATAAAACCCTTTTTAAGTTTTAACTTCGCAAAAAGAAGAAGCGAATATCAAGCCAATAATATCATGAGAAGTGGAAAGGTTACTTACAAGATTTACATATAATGGCTATGTATTTTCTAACATAAAAGACAAAAAAATCTATACAAAGATAGAAAAACCAAATTGCCCTAGTACGAGCACCAGAATTACAACTATATAAATTATAATCCAATCAAATGAATGTTACTCAATTTTCAAAAGAATTTGAAGAGTATCTAAGACAGTACGTGTTGCTCATTGTAGAACCAAAGCCACATGATATAGAAAAACTCGGAGGAAAACACAAAGTGTATATGATTTCTTTAAGGTGTATGAGAAGCAAACCATTCGATCATCTCGTCATTGTAAGAAGAGTCTCATGATATGTGAACAAAATTCAATTGATTTTATATATTTTTG